CGTGTCCCGAAGAAAATGACAACCCTTAAAAAAATTGTGATTGTTCAACTCTTTTTGGGTGTAACTTACTGCAGTAAGTGCAACTCAGCCACCTTGGTAGGCAATGTGCTAAAATTCGATTTGATGCATGCTTGTACCTGATCTGCTCGATTAACCAATGGCAACCAATAATAAATGAATACTATTTCTATTAATTATTTCTCCTATAACCAACAGCAACCATTTATGTACAAACTTTTCCACCGTAAATCTCAAAATCCCTGTTTGAGCACTTCCCCAGGCTTCTATTAATTTGTCGTAGCGTGATGTTATATAGCCTATGGCTAATGTTTGAAAATTTCATAAAACTTAAAAAAAATGAAATATTTCAAATGTGTGAAATATTTCTGTATTTTAATGAATTTTGTTTTATTTTTAAATAAGTTTTATATTTACATATAATTGTCATAAATTACCTTCATAATTATATGGTACCTGTACGTATACCTTTGGTATTATACATTTAAAATGGTATTTAACATTTAAATGATACAAGTAGGTATACAATATTATACATGTATATTGTATACCTACCTACTGAATTCTTACATTAGAATTTAGAACACTGAACATAGTGTTAAAAAAAAATAAATAGTGTTTTTATTTGTGTTAAAAAAATTTTCAATGTTTCACGTTTTTGTGAAATATTTCATACTTCAAACACTACCTATAGCCTTTCTCGATGAATGGACTATCCAACAAAAAATAATTTTTCAATTCGAACCAGTAGTTCCTGAGATTAGAAAGTTCAAGCAAACAAACAAATAAACACTACAGCTTCATATTATATTAGTATAAATAAAAATATTGACACAATGATAACAATCAATTTATTGCGAATCATAAAATTTGTTAACATAGTACTCGACAGTACACCTGTCGAAATGGAAATTGTTTTAAAATTATGTTCCCATACAGTCAATACTCAATAGTCAATAGATGTTTTTGTCCAGCTCTTGCTGTTTTGGAAAATAATTGGTAGGTAGGAACGTAAAAATTCAGAAATTGTTTTATTTTCTGAATTGTATAAATATTACTTGTCTAAAACTATATTTATTTGGAAACTCATTTATTCTGAAACTCGTAGGTATTAGTTTTTAAATTAAGTCGTTTGAAAATATTATTTAATTGAAACTTATTTCGTAGAAAAAGTATTTATTCGAAGCTGACAGCTGTATACCGTATACAATAATATACATTTTCAGCGAAATATTTTCCATGTTAATAAGCTTTTGAGCAAATATGATTTCGTAAATATTAACAATAAATAAATTCTTCAGTGGGTATTACAGTTCCATCAATATAATATTATATAGTTTATACGTATTATGTTTCCTACTGAATATTACGTTTTCCAAGCGCATTTGTTTCCGACATGATATATTTCAAACGAATTACTATTCCAGAGTAATATGATACAATAAAAATAGGGTAGTGCTGGTGTCGCGCTGGTGTACAGACGTACAGTATAGGTTACAATACTGCAGGGTCATTGTAATGGATGGTATTAAATTTGAATTCAATGATATAACATCATTGTATATGAAAAACGATTCTGAGCGGAGACGGTTTGTCAGCCAAGGATGTTTTAGATTATAATTTATATTTAGACTATTATTATCAATACGTTACCTGGTAACTGGAATTCATATTATTTGGCATTTGTATATAATAATATACCTACTTTAGAGGTTCAAGTACCTCGAATACTATTTTAAATTATAACAGATAACTAAAATCCTTCTTATTCATTCAAATACCGTCCAAACTTGACTTAAAATGAAAAAAAAACTGTGTGTATATATTTTTAGATTTTTTGATTACAGCGTGAACTACTTACATGGTACCTTGTTTTTAATTATTTATCTTTAGCTAAGTATACACATTTAACATTTTATACATTTTTAACTGCAAAATCCTTTGTACATTTTCAATATAATACATTTTGTCGAAATTTGAACTTTAAAATCAGGTATAAAAAAAATCTTGCCCATGCATTATTAATATTTTTAAACTGATAATGTAACAATATGTGAGGACTGAGGAGCTTTGAATACAATTTTAAAGCTTTTTGATCCCAGGAATAAAAATACATTGATATTTAAAGAAAAAAAACTTAAAAATTTGTTATTTGATAATGTCAGTAAACAGTTCAAAATAAGTCAAAATATTTTAAAAATTTTATCAAGTATTAGAAAATCATAAAATAAACATACGGTGTAAATTTCAAGTATTTACGGTAATTTTATTTAGAGTTATACCAAAAATCAAGATCAATTTTTTCGAAAACCAATTATGAGTGAAAAATTAAAATTCTTGTTTTTCCTTAATTTTTTTTTTGTTTTATACATAGTGCTTTTGAAAACTACTGCGAGTTTTAAATTTTTCCTCCCAGATTTTCACTTTCCCATCGGAAAATATAAGGGGAAGTAGAAAATTGAAGCATTATTTCGACTACTTATCGTGTACACAGACACAAAATAAATTTTTAAAAAAACACACCACATAGTAAAATCAATATATTCATCCCTCCTCTCAGAATCTAAAACACAATTCCAGCAGACCACAATAAAAAATAATATGTGCTTCCGACTAGATATTTTTCAACAAAAACCGTTCCAACGTGGGTCTATTATAACATTTTGATATTTGAATATTTGATGAGTACCGCGGGTGCCGCCGCTGCTGAAACGCGGGACAGTGGTTCGAAAAATGGCGCGACCGCGACCGGCGACGGACGACCACAACTTACTGATTGCGGCACTCACTGATAAGATCGATAACAGCGGACAATAGTTTGTTGTTATTATGGTTCGCCGAGATTTCGTTTGATGTTTTGTTTTTGAAAAATATATAATATTGTTTGCTCCTCTATTACAGACGTCCTCTCGTTCGTTTCACGTTTGAGTTGTTTTTATTTCTCTCTCACAAACTGTCCGTTCCACTTATCGCGGTTGTCACGGCGTCTTGTCAGAGTCAGACGCACGCGCATATCGATCGATATCCACCGTTGTTACGCTACATTATCGTTAAGCATTATCATAGTCGTCGTCGTCCCGTGGCCCTCCGAATCGCCGCCGAATGACGGCTGCCACACCGGCGGTGGTGGTGGTGGTGTTCACACGGAACGACGTCCGACGTCCATTAAAACTGCTGTAAGATTTCCGGGGCGCCGGTGCGGGTGACGGACGGGACACGATTGCAGTCCGCACGAAGTCGTACCCAATCGTTTGTGTCGTCTGTAGTTAGTTGTTGCCGAGGGACAAGCAATACCTAAAGTGAGTAATAATACTTAGGTACTCCAATCCTGCGATGGTCCAATCATATTGCGATCTATTCGTTAGACGATTCATACGGCTGGGACTCATAGATCCCCATTTCCCTGCCCGGACCTCTTTGGATTCGACCAATGACACTTTATAGTCATGGCTTAATAGTACCCATAACATGTCATAATTTTATATTAGGTATGTTTGCTCAAAATTTGGGATAGGGCAATCATTTTCACACTGTTTACTGAATTTTATTGATTTTTGGTTAATTTTTGTACCACTAAGTTTGAAGTAAAAAGCACTGCCTACCTAGGTACCTACTGTGTTTAGTCTAAAATCACTCCTAACATTTTATAACATAATCATAATAAGGTGCTTAAAGAGTGCTTAGGTATATTCTTAAATCTAAACACTAATTATTATAATATGCATTAGGTTACTTAAACATTAATTTGATTGTTGATTAATAAAATCACACGTTTAACCAAATACCTATATCTTTCAAATTTGTGTAGGTTGTAGGTGCAGAATTAAATTAAATATTTATATTGAATACCACTTAACTAATTAAATCATTTTTTTTCTTGTTACAACTCTTACTTTCATAAAGTTATTACTTAGGTATTACGAATGACAACTTATTAGTTATTCATAAAATATAGGTAGGTAGGCATCTTACTAATATGTTTTTATGCTTATACCTAGATACTCTTCTAACAGCCATCCCTACTAAAATAGGTATACCTAGTTATATAACATACCTAGTTAGATAATCTCACTTTTAAAACTGAACACAGACATAATACTAGACAAATATATAATATCAAAGTACCAACCATGCACAAAAAATTAACACAATTCACTACTTGCATATCGGTCCAAAAATTTGCAGTATATTATCATTTGAAATTAAACATAGCAAACTCTTTAGACTCTAGCATACCTAACTCGTTCAAGATTCTTAAAAAAAAATTACACTGGCTACTACTAGAACAAAATATAGACAAACCTACAGTACATATTTTATAAGGCTATTGCATCGTTTAATGCATTAATTAGATGATGACTTTGGTAATTATTGATAAAGTTTTATAGCTTTATATTGTAATTTTTAATTTCAAGATTTTGTACATAATATTACATTATACCAACATAAATATTATAAAAAAATGTATACCTATATGTATTCACTATTAAATTATTTTGTATTTCAAATTGTGAACTCATGGGTCCTCACACAAACATTTTCAGTGGGCCTCATACCTTCTTGAAGAGTAAAATATAAAAATAAATAAATAAAAAAATAGTCTTATAATACCTATCTATGTTTTTAAACTAGTAAGTTTCACACATATAAGTTATAATTAATCTGATTTTTAAAACATATTCTTAAGTTATCTATTAGATACATCTCATTTTAGTCTTATGGCATAAAAAAGTACATTTCTGTTATGTCTATAATGTCTCAGTACCCACTTTCAATTTTAATAATATCATTACATAATAATAATAGGTATAATATAAAATGTATTGCATCCAAAAATCCATCTCAACCTTAATTGCTCTTTAATTTGTTACTTAAAAACCCATTAAATTTGTTTTTCGTAGTAGTTGACTCTGATTAATTACTCACTTGTTTGTTACAATAGTCCATGAACACAACGTGAACGTAACGGCCAATCGGTCGCAATGACAAAGAAATTTGAGTTCAATTGGCAGATCCCAGTTCCTGATGTGTTGCTACAGGGTTGTTTGTTCGACCGTTGGTCTGAAGAAAAAGACAACGTTGAAATCGAAAATGGCTGTTTATTTAAGGTTGACGAATATGGATTTTTCATCTATTGGAAAAGCGAAAATCGAGTAAGCAATATTTTAAAATAATAAATACACAATAGTATTAACATATTTTTTAAACATTTATTTGAATACTTTTATTATAATGATTTTAAATATCTCATATATTTATATTATTTTTGTTTTTTAATCATTATTCATCAATAATTAAGTATATTTATAATTGTAATTTAGATTTTTCTAAATATATTTCTCTAATTTTAGGATGGGGACGTCATTGAGTTATGCCAGGTCAGTGACATACGCTCTGGAGGATTACCTAAAGTAAGTTATTTTTAAATAAAAATTGTTGACTTTATTATAACATTATGAGGTCACAATGTTTTCAATTGTATATCTGGCCTTTCCCTAAAAGGGTGTCATACTCGCATTTATTTTCTCCATCTAAAAAATGTAAAGCACAGCAAACCCAACTTGGCTTGTTAGTTTTAAATTATGAATTGACCTAATATCAAACTTGAAAGTAAGAACAAAGAACATTATCTATGATTATTTGTTAGTTTTTTGATATTTCAATTTTTAAGTAAGGAATGAGTGTAAAAATGCCAATAACTAGCTTAAAAATTAGAATATCATAGAAAAAACAATATTTACGAATAGATAATGTTATTTTCTTACCAATAAGTTTTCTATTTGGTAAACTCAGTCTTATATTAAAGCAAAGTACTCTATATTGGTTCTACTGAATACAAAATGTCTATGTTGTACTTTTGTAAAACTGAGACAACGTGTGTGGAAATGTGAAAACCCACACTCAATGTAAAATAATTTTATTGTTTTTAGGATACCCGACAACAGCAGCAGTTGATAAATAAACATGGCGATACCTTGGAAGAGAAATCCTTAACTATATGCAGCAACACGGATTACATCAACATAAATTATCAGCACGTTATTTGTCCAGATGCTGCTACAGCTAAAGTAAACAATACTGAATAATTACATCGTTTAACACTATTTAACTTATAAAATAATGTATTAATATTAAACTATCCAACAAATTATTCAAAATTATTTTAATGATAATATTACCTAGAACCTTACTACGCACTTTAGAAATTATAAGTTAATACAATGCAAAACTATAGTATAATGAAAACACTGAGTGCTACATTATATTATAACCAAATCATTTTAAATTGTATCTTAGTTTTTTAATGGTTTATCTATATATTTATATATTAGTAGCGTTTAGCATAATATACTAGAGTATATTATTTATATCAATAAATAGTAACTGAAAAATTATATTACAGTTCTTTACCAAATATCAACTTGATAGGCTTCTTATCCACAAAAAGCAATAATTTAATTTAGTTGATTGATTGCATCATTCACCTTGCAAAAATTTTTAACGGGATACAAGATATTTTTTCAAGTTGTACAATGTACATGTTCCATTTTCACGAATGTGTTTTGGAATCATCCACATTCGAGTAACAGTTAAAACTTATTAATTCCACAGGGAAATAATCAATAAATCACAATTATATTACATTTGTATCTACCTCACTTAATATTACAATACTGAAGTGAATAAACTATAGTAATTTATTGAATATGTACTGAATGATACAAATAATTAGTTCATACTACCAGGGCCAGATTAGACAAATTCGGCCCACCGAGTTTTCCGTACTTTACCAGACCACTTACAAACTGACGGCGCTTGGGTACATTCTTATTTCGTGCATAGTTTTTTTATTTTATAGTCTCCATTTCTTCAACTTTTAACTCTAAACATATTTTCAGTCGGCGCAGCTTGAACGGCCCAAAATTTTTGCGGCCCACCAAGTTTTACTCTGTAACTCGCCGGGCCAGTCAGGCCCTGTATACTACATTTGAAATCATTTTGTAGTTAATTATTGTATATATTATATAATTCTTCTTATGTGTAAAAATGTTGTCGAAAACCATATTAAAAAGTTAAATCATTAGTTATTTTATTTAAATAATAAATCTACTAATTCATGATTTATATATATTCGTCATCATCAATTTAGAAATCAACATTTATTGTTTATGATCATGTCATTTTTATTTTTGAATTAAAACAAAATATAACATTATTTTAAATACAAATAATAAATCTAAAAACTATAATATTACAGTAGCAAGTAAAATAGGCAAAAATTTTCCAATTTAAAATGAATTATTTTTACTAATAAATATAAACTATTAACTCATAATTATTCAATAACTAAAAATAAAACTTGAACTAGTGTAGATAATATGAATCTTTGATTACTAATTTTATAAATTAATTTGTTTATAAATAATAATGTTATTAATAATATTTTATTTTAATAATTTAAAATTATAATGAACAATCTTAAGTATTAGAATTTGTATTTAAAATATTTTACGATAAGTATTGAATAAGTTCCTAATTATTATGTATATTTTATTTCAATAAAGCAATGGCAAGAAGGTCTTCGTAAGATTACGCATAACAACAAAATGAACAATGTTTGTGTACGGACCAATCTTATGAAACAGTGAGTTTATAATACTTTGTGTTACATAGAATATACATTATTAATATGTAATAAACTTATTTTGTGTTAATATTAATATGTTATAGTTGGATGCGATTAGGCATGTTGGTGGATCCAAAAGGTAAAGTTCCTGTAAAAGTAATCGCTAGAACATTTGCTTCAGGTAAAACTGAAAAAATGGTTTACCAGTGTCTAGCTGATCTCAACTTGCCCAGTGGAAAAGTATAGTAGATTGAATAATCATTAAAATAATAACAATTATATTTGTATTAATTTTATTAATATTTTAGAATGATACTATTGAGCCGTCAGATTTCACATTTGATAAATTCTATGAACTTTATCACAAAATATGCCCTAGAAATGATATTGAAGAACTTTTCCAGTCAATGTAAGTATTAAATTATAAAATTATAAAATTATTTTTGTCGTGTTAATATAAAAAGCTAGTTACGTTTTTCTTTGATATTTTTTTTTCACCTTGATAGCTTATTATAAAATCATGCAACATTTATATACAATACAGAGTTTAATCTTGAATACTACAAGGAACTCAAACATTAATTTGACTTTTGTATTTTGTGATGGGTACCTAAAATGTACATTGTGTAATGTATATTATGTGATATTATATATTAATATAAAGAAAATTATACATATTAGAACCTCTTTAAAAAAGAGTAATTTTAGCATCAGATTAGTTGAGAATTTGAAATTAGGTTTTTCGGGGATTTATTATCAAATTAACTTTTTTTACTAAATAAATTAAAAGTTAAAAAAGCAATTTAATTTTAATTTTAATTATTGTCGTTTATCTATTTTTCAATACTAATCTAGTGTTTACCAAAAACCGACAGTACCCTCCCCCACAATTTAAAAAAAATTACCCAATGTCCTAAAGCGTACCGTTACAACTAAAACCCCCTCATTAGCTTATGGCCATAGTTGCCATGCTCTAAACCAATAAAAAAATTCAATATTTTTTTTAGCACTCAAGGAAAAGCTGAAAATATCAGTTTGGATCAGTTTATTACCTTCCTAAATGAGAAACAACGAGATCCTCGTTTAAACGAAATATTATACCCTTTGTATGATGAAAAGAGAGCACTTGAAATTATCAACGACTATGAACCATCTGAAGAGGTGAAGAATGAAAGTAAGCAATTTCTAAGTTAATAATGTATAAATTAAGTTAATAAATATTATTATTTATCCAAATATCTGTTTGATATATATTTTAATTAGTAAATTACATTTTCTGAAAATGAAATATTTTAACTGAAACTTATATAATATGTTAGAATTCAGGCAAATATATTTTATGATTTAGGTATATCATATTTTGCAACATTGATAAAGTTATTTAAAAACATACAAATAATGAACTGTCATCATTCACATTTTCTGGAAATTCCTCATTGTCAATACTTTTCTTTCTCTGCGCTCTACTCATTTTTTCCATTACATTTAATACTACACCATTCTGATTGGGAAACATAATTGGTTGATTATTTAACACTTCTTTTGCACTCTCCGCTGTCATGAAAGTCACAAATCCGGGCACAATTTCTGTAGTAGGTTCCGGGTTTTTCTCTGTGGTTATAATTTGTGCGTTCACTACTGAACCCCACTTGCTGAAAAATTGTTTCAACTCATCAGAAGTCACATTAACTGGAATATCACCTACAAACAACTGATGACTGGTTGGAAGGTATTTGTTATCCCTGTGTTGGTATGACTCCTTCTTCTCTTTGACAACTAACCACACTCCACTTTTATTTGGGTATGTTATTGGCCGGTTTTGTAATACTACCTGTGTGGACTCTGATGAAGCATATGTTACAAAACCGTAGTTCACATTTCTCGTCATGATTCTCAGGCTGTATAGTTGACCATATTGTTCAAAAAACTGACTCAGGTCCTGAGGATTTGTATTCGCTGGTATACCAGACACAAATAACTGATTACTTCTAGGCGGATATAACATTTTATTATATTGACACACAGAATTCATTTTTCTATTATTTGTTTGATTTTTCAATTTTCTTGTGCATTTTATTACATTGCCATGGCCGCCTATATTGAGCTGTGCTGTATGATCTAAATAGAAAAGTGTGTCGTTTTTTATTATATATTCATTTTTAGTATTACGATCCAGAACGATTGTCTGTGAAAATCTTCTCTGGTCATAATTGTGTTTAGTCAGGTCACCAACAACAACTATTACTATATAGTTATAGAGCTGTTGAGTGTTTATTGAAAATATATTGGTTTTACATCCTGTGTAGTCCAGTTGGACAATACAATCATGTATATCTTTTTTGCCAACAGCAAATTGAGTTTCAGTGGTCACTTTGTGGTGCACAAATATCGAATTTTTTTCATAATATTTACTTAAATTATGTGGACTTTTACTGAGTGTTGTGTAATATTTATGTACAAAATTGTTTCCAAATGTTTTGAGATCTAAATCAGCATCCATATTCTGATTTTTATTACTACATAATACTATATTTTCCATAAATTATTTTAAGTTTTAATAATGGTGTTTATATGGTTACATTCAATATAATATAAATTAATACTTAATATTTAATTCAAGCCAGCATAAACGTAATATTAATAATTTTTTTTTAGAGCAATTATCAAAAGAAGGTCTCATAAGATATTTAATGTCTGATGAAAATGCACCAGTATTTTTGGATCGATTAGAATTCTACATGGATATGGATCAACCTTTAGCTCATTATTATATTAATTCATCTCATAACACATATTTATCTGGACGTCAATTTGGCGGAAAGTCTAGTGTCGAGATGTATCGTCAAACACTTTTAGCTGGATGCAGGTGAGTCTATTTTTAGAAAATTAAGGTTTTTATTTTAATTAAATTAAATTTTGATTTTTAATATCTACCTTGAAAATACATAGATGTGTTGAACTCGATTGTTGGGATGGTAAAGGTGAAGAAGAAGAACCTATTATTACCCACGGGAAAGCCATGTGTACAGATATTCTATTTAAGGTAAGACTATTATTTTTAACAATGTAATATTAGGTATATTTTCCAGAATGAGCAGATATTGCTCAAAACAACCATTAGAACTCAATATGTCTTTATTGTAATATATATATTTTATAATGATTGTGTTTATTTTGGCTATATTTTAAGCAATGTAAAAAAAAAAAAAAAATGAGCCAATGTAAATTATAATTTCAAAATGCACATTTTAAAAATCGTTAAAAATAGTGTTACTAAAAAAAATTGTTTACTTAATCTAGCTCTAAAATAAATTCTGAAATTGTGTGATCGATCTTTGTTACTTTTGTCAAAGTTAGGTTAACAGCTTAGTATAATATTTTATATGTTTAATTCACGCCACTTTTTCTTGTTAAAATATACTGAAAAATAATTATTTTAATTTCATGTTTTTCCAGACTTAAATTATTAAAAGATTGATCTTATTATTTTTGTTTTCTTTTAATAATAATTTGAGTTCTATCTTCTATGTATATTGTATACATAAAAGTGAAAAACAATTAGGATAAGCATGTTTTGAACATTATCTTATATTACGTTTATGACTACTTAATTTTAGATGATTAAAAGTATTTTTTTTTATTACATTTAGGATGTAATTTATGCTATTCGAGATACCGCATTTGTAACATCTGACTATCCAATTATTTTATCGTTTGAGAATCATTGTTGCAAGAGTCAACAATACAAACTTGCCAAATATTGTGATGAAATTCTTGGAGATTTATTAATGAGAGAATGCTTACCTGATTTTCCAGTAAGTTAAACTTTTTTGTTTTAATGCTTATCAATCTTGTTTTAATAATATTTTATTTTTAAGTGTGATCCAGGAGTGGCATTACCTCCCCCATCATTACTTAAAAGAAAAATTATGATTAAAAATAAACGATTAAAGACAGAAGTTGAAAAAAGTGAGTTAGAGCTATTTAGAAAAGGTCAGTTTGTCATTGAAGATGAAGAAAAAGAGGATGCAACTGCAGTAACTTCAAATCCACCCGAAGAAAAAAAGGTAATACAAGACTTCAAGAATAATTGGTATTACATACTTCTTTTACTACACATTAAATAATAATTTTATAATATTATCATTACTTATTGCCAGTATCTGATGATCATCATATGACATAAGTCTTTCGCGACAAAATATTACTAGGCTTATGAAATGTTAAACTCATCTTTAAGTAGGTTTAAATTGTTTTTGTATGTTATTCATAAGATCTTTAAAGGCTGTTGTTCAAGCTGACAATATGTCTGAGACGTTTATCCTCTTCTGGAAGTTGCCGGTCCAATAATGGGATTTCATCATTTGTGTTAATATTATATTTAGACTTCATATGTCACCAAAGACTTAAGATTGTTTCACTGTGTGTGTTCTGGTAGAAGTGTATAAAGCAGTGTTGATAAATGTCGAATTTACACCTTCTGCTGATCACTAGTTCCTGACACTAATTCATTTTTTTTTTTTTTGTAATAGGTAAACACATACACCTCTTTCTCTTTTCTTAATAATAAATGTGATACAACATATAAGTCAAATGTGAACTTTGCATACTTAACCTCTATCAAACAATATTTTTTAATTACCATATTATATTATTACATTATTTTTATTATTATTTATCAAACACAAGGTTGAAGTACCCGATGTAGGAACAGGTACTGAAGGCGCCGAGGCTCCACCGCCAATACAATATACTGGATCAACTACCAATGTACATCCGTGGTTATCTTCAATGGTTAATTATGCTCAGCCTATCAAGTTTCAAGGTTTTGATGTAGCTGAAAGTAAGTTTAATAAATAATGGAGTATTTTTGTTTACAAACTATCATATTATATAAATGTTTTTTATTTTTAAAGAAAAGAATATTCATCATAACATGAGTTCCTTTGCTGAAAACACCGGACTTGGATATTTGAAATCTCAAGCAATTGAATTTGTAAACTACAATAAAAGACAGATGAGCCGTATATATCCAAAAGGAACCCGTGCTGATTCCTCAAACTATATGCCACAAGTAAAATTGCAATTTTTTTATCATAATAACTTAATAATCAATGTCAAAATTATTTATTTCAACTTTTAACAATTTTTATCATTTTAATATTAATATAATGTAAATTCTAGGTTTTTTGGAATGCTGGTTGTCAAATGGTATCATTAAATTTTCAAACTGCTGATTTGCCTATGCAACTTAATCAGGGAAAATTTGAATACAATGGTAATTGTGGATACTTATTGAAACCAGATTTCATGCGCAGAGCAGACCGAAGCTTTGATCCATTTGCAGAATCCCCCGTAGATGGGGTGATTGCTGCCCAGTGTTCAGTTCAAGTGATTGCTGGCCAATTTTTGTCCGACAAGAAAGTTGGTACTTACGTTGAAGTTGATATGTATGGCCTTCCTACAGATACTATACGTAAAGAATTCCGTACCCGGATGGTACCTAGCAATGGTTTGAATCCAGTCTACAATGAAGAACCATTTTTATTTAGAAAGGTAATTTGCATTTTTTTTTTACCATATTACATACATAATGTAGTATAAAGATTTGAAATTTTTAAATGTAATTTATTCACAAAATGTTTGATCATCATATTATATTAATAATTTCTATAATATTGTACTTTAGGTAGTGTTACCAGATTTAGCAGTTCTGAGGATTGGTGTGTATGAAGAAAATGGAAAACTACTGGGACAAAGAATTTTGCCTTTGGATGGTCTACAAGCTGGCTATAGGCATATATCATTAAGATCAGAAGCCAATTTCCCAATGGCTCTTCCTATGTTATTCTGTAACATTGAATTGAAAATTTATGTTCCTGATGGTTTTGAAGGTGCGTTAAATAATTTATTTACCTAATTTTTTCCCCAAACGGGAATTATAATAACATTTTTTAAATAATATAGCTACTATAATATATTATAATATATCTTAATTCATTATAATATTTTACCTAAATAAGCTACGTACAATTATGAGCAAATAGTATGTCTTATTTAAACCCCTATTAAGAGGTCGTCACACCCGCACATGTTGTCTGCGTCTTACACTTAATGTACAACATAGCAAAAACTGTTTTTCGCGGGACAAAATTTTACTCCCTCTGTATTTTTAGTAGAATTACCAAAATTACCAAGGGAAGAACTTTATCTGTGCCTTATTGTTTTAATTTTATTGATAGCACTAACCACTATAACTTTTAATAATTAGTTGAAAAAAAAAACCTAAAGTTCTTAAACCGATAACTTTAAATATATATTTTATGTTATCCAAATAATAAAAACACTACAACACAGATAAAGTTTTTTCCTACGTGTTGTGGCATTTTTGGTTGGTAATTCTACTATAAATACAGAGTAAAATTGTCCCTCGCAAAACAGTTTTTGCTATGTTCAATGTTGTACATTTTTTGTAAGACGGAGACAACACATCCGGGTGTGACGTCCTCTTAATATTTAGAACCTATTTGTAGTATCATAATTTTCGCTGACTCGTTTCTCGTACGGCGCGCAAACGAGTACCCATAGGTTGTATAATTATGAAAAAAAAATTGTGCGCAAAAAGCGACCACATCTCAGCCGAGAATTAGATAATATTGAATGCGAACACCGATAATAATTTTATTAGTCTTTAGTATTTTGAAAACCTGTTCCGCGATACCGTTGGCCGGTGGGGATGGCGATAATATAATTTCCAAGCGAAGCCGTTTAGAAATTGCACACCCATGTCCCATTATGCACTCCACAACCACCATCACCAGTCGGCAGCCACCACCACTCTTACACCAATAATTATTATAACGACGAGTTAGGTATATTATTATAATTATTATTGAATGAATTATGATAAATGTTACACGTAACTTTCCCTCCGCCGCGCATGTAATCTTATACCTACGCAAAAATGATTATCGAAACCAAGAAGTTCCTGTAGGTGCTGCCGTTGAAATCGTAGCAACAGTTGGCCACGTTTTCACGAAATCGCGTAACATTTGTCGCTTTGAAATTACAAATTACCTACAAAAATAAAGGCGCTCTTTACTGTCAATATTGTCATTTGCCAGAAGGATTCACCGGTAGGAAATTTTTACAAATTTTAAAATCTAAAACTTTTTCTCGTTTTCGAATGCTCATAGGTATCTTGTATGTGTTTTGTACCTATTAATATATTGTAGCATGTAGCGATTTAGGAATATTCTATGTGTACCTCGTTTTCCCATTTATCTAGCGAACGCTTTATAATTCGAATTCGATGCACCGCCCTATATATGATTTTAAAATGAAAAAACATCTCGTTTTCAATTTTTGGGTGACCCGGGGTTTTTCCAGCGAACCAGGGAACGTATATCTATACGTTTTGAAACAGCATTTCACTTTATTAATCTTTAATCTTTATACATACAATTCGGTCTATTATTTTTCGAAATCAATTTTATAATTGATCATTTCTTGACGCCGATAAAAATATTAGATCGAGGACAGTCTGATCATTTTTCGAGTAGGTATATCTGAGTTTCGTACATTTATTTTCGTTGTAAAAATTATGGAGCATTTATATCAAAGCTCTAATAATAACCATCAGTAGCACAAATAATTTATTTTGACTACATAAATTTTAGATGACACAATATTGAGTTTTGACCCCTTTATACATATTTTTCATTAGATTTTATTTTCAGCCCATCAACTATTCATACATTTTAGACTTAAAGTTGAGTTTAGATAAATTATTAACAAATAATATGCAAATATTTTTAATTCATTTTTATTACAACGGTTTAAACTTTAAGGTGATAAATCCTTCAAATTGTATATATTATATCACTAGCTGATCGTGTGCATCTTTGTTGCCCGTTAAATGTACCAACCTTATATGACTCAAACTGTTCAATTCGTTAATTAATATTCGGTGTATGATGTTCAAAATTTATCTTAACTTTTCTGTAAATAAAAATCCTGATTCGCAGTAGTATATTATTAGGTAGGCGATCTACCTGCGGTAAATCGCGGACCTAGTGCTGTTTGTACGTAAGTGTATGATTTAACTCTAAAGTATCAAAGTTATACCAAGTTTATTTTGATATGATACGGTGGATTAATATAATCAATTAATACATAATCCTAACCTAACTATACTAAAATCTGATGAATAATAAAGACTAAATTTAACCCTTTATAAATTAGCCAATCTTTTTCCCAGAGATCTGCGCACAAACATTCATTTATATATAGTATAGCTGATCCTGCACATTTTGTGGCCCCTTAAAAAAATGACAACTCTTAAAAAAATTGTGATTGTTCAACTCCTTTTTGGTGTAATTCACTGCAGTAAGTGCAACTCAGCCACCCCGGTAGGCAATGTGCGAAAATTTGATTTGATGTATGCTTGTACCTGATCTGCCCGATTAACCAATGGCAACCAATAATAAATAAATACTATTTCTATTAATTATTTCTCCTATAACCAATAGCAACCATTTATAAACAAACATTTCCATTGTAAATATCAAAATCCCTGTTTGAGCACTTCTATTAATTGGTCGTAGCGTGGTGTTATATAGCAGGGGTGGCCAAATCACGGCTCGCGAGCCGCATGCGGCTCTCGTCACAGTCGTATGCGGCTCGCGGTCTTATTTACAAAAACCAAAATATTTTAATTTTTTTTTGTATACATTTATAAAAAAATGTTTTTATTGTATTTATTTAAGGCTATAGTATTATAGTGTATATAATATAGATTAAATCAAACAAAAAAAAAATTAATTAATATGAATAATAAATTAAAAAATTAAACATTAAGCTAATTTTGTTTGCGTGGTACTTTTTTCGTGTCTGCTTTTTTAGTAAGCTTCTTAAGATCTGGTTGAATTGATGTAAGAGCAATTCTTAGTAATTCTGTAAGATGATCATCAGTCAAATTTGAACGATATTTTGACTTAATTATTTTTATTTTCATTGTTTTCATTGTTGAATACGTCGTTCCAAAAATTGATATAAATTTTACCGCACAGTTTTTAATATTTGGGTATTTTAATATAGGAATATGCTTCCAAAATTCCAATATATCTTAATTACTTTTGTGGTATAGAAGTACACATTAGATAATTTGGATCTTGATAAAATTTTGTTAATACATGTGGCTCACGTACATAGTCATGTTGGCCACCCCTGTTATATAGCCTATAGCCTTCCTCGATAAATGGACTATCCAACATAAAAAGAATTTTTCAATTCGAACCATTAGTTCCTGAGATTAGCTCGTTCAAATACACTAACTCTACAGCTTTATATATTAGAAAAGATATAAAAATAAAAATATAACATATTATTTACTACCTCTTCGAGGTATACTTCCGAAGAACGAATTTTCTTCAGGCATAAATGCATAATAAATATATGTATTTATTATTCATATTGACTTTTATTATTTATATATAACATTATGTCCTTTTTTTTTTTTTTTAAATATCGTTAATTGTCAGTTATTTTTTATACAATTTATGCTGATATTATTATGTTTAATGGTGAATAATTATATATTAATTAGTTGGAATCACTAAATGTTTTATTGTATGTAATTGTAGATTTCATGGCTGCTTTATCTGATCCAAGAGCATTTTTGTCAGCACAAGAAAAGCGTGCGCAACAGATGAAAGCTATGGGTATCGAAGAAACCGATATAAACACCAAAGATATTTTAGCTGGTAATGCAGGAGATGGCGAGAAGACTGGTAAAAAGGGGAGCAAAAACAAAAAGTCTGATGAACCAAAGAAAGGTAAATGTTAAAACTCAAAATATCTTTTTATTATTTCACTCCTTTGCTCCCAACTATATGGGGTCAGCCACTCTTCATAGAGCTCTGTTCCTTCTTTATTCGCTCCAGATTTTTTTGTGTCATTCTATATTCTGTCTATTCATCAATTGTTTCATCTTCCTCTCCCTCTCTTTCTTTCTATATTCATTTCCATGGCCACTCTCACTGCTTCCGTGTTGTCCATCCTACATAATAATAACATAATTGAACCATCTCAACATATTCTATTTTAAAATATTTATACTCAAATAATATTATTTTGCTGTAGAGGAAGAACTTAAATTCGAAAATATAAACCTCGAGTACCTGAGAAATGACAAAGGGTTTCAAAAAGCAAGACGAAAGCAAGAAAAAGAATTAGAGACTTTACGCAAGCGACAAGCTAAGGAAAAGTCTGCTATACAAAAACACCAATGTACATCTGTGGAAAAAGCCGTTAAAGGCAAAGAGTGAGTAACATTCAATGAGATGAGTTTTATTTTATTTCATCACATGATATTATATTTTAGCAAAACTGAAGTGATCAATGATGGTGGTGTTAAAAAATTGGTGACTGAGCAAATGACTCAGTGGTCTGAAATGGTTGAACGTCATAGGCGAGAGAAATGGGCGTTACAAAAACAGCAAGCTACTGAACAACAGGATGCCCTTATAAAACTAATGGAGACCCTCCAAGCTGCACAAATGAAGCAGTTGGAAGTTCGTCACGAAAAGTAGGATTCAACTTACACACAGTGATACTAAACAGACATTGCAATTAAAGTTGTTGGACATTTTATTATTTATAGAGATTTGAAAGAGATGAACACAAGACAGGCAAAAATATCTGTGGAAGTGATGAAAGAAGTGATGAACGATAAAGCATTGAAGACTAAAGGTGATAAGGACAGACGATTAAGAGAAAAGAAACAAAACAACACTAAAAAATTTATGGACGAGAGGAAATATGCTCAGGTAAAACATTTGACTTGATTTTCCATAGAAGTATGAAGCAAATTTGTGGTTTTATTTGTTAATATTATGCTAAAAATCGATTATTACAGAT